ACATTTCTTTATAATATTTGACCTTGTCTTCTTGAGCTAACCTTTGAAATTTTCTGTTCATTGTACCTCTTCATTTCTTCCATTTGCTTTAGCATCTCTACGCTGGAGAGCAAGTTTCAGTGTCTCTTCTGATATCCATTTTGATCTTTTCCTTCTTTTCTTATCTTCTTAATGACTTTTGGATTTCTTCCTGTATGATGTTCTTGATATCATCCCACAACTCTTCTGGTCTTCGATCTTTAGTGTTTAATGTAACAAATCTGTTCTTCAGATGATTTCTAAATTCAGGTGGGATATGTTCAAGGTCATATTTTGGCTCTTGTGGACTTGTTTTCATTTTCTTCAACTTCAGTTTGAATTTGCATATGAGTAATTGATGGTCTGTTCCACAATCTGCCCCTGGCCTTGTTTTGGCTGATGATATGGAGCTTTTCCACTGTCTCTTTCCACAGATGTAGTCATTTTTATTTCTGTGTATGCCATTTGGTGAGGTCTATGTGTATAATTGTCTTTTATGCTGTTTAAATAAGGTTTTTGAAATGGACAAATAATTGGTTTTACAGAATTCTATCATGCTATATCCACCACTATTTCTATCACTAAGGCCATATTTTCCAACTACTGATCCTTCCTCTTTGTTTCCAACCTTTGTATTCCAATCACCAGTAATGATCAATACATCTTTTTTAAAAAATTGTTTCTAATTTTTTATTGTGAATTATGTGATAGTTTACATGAGAGAACATTAGCTTTACATTCATCCTATCTTATTTCATTTCATATTTGCAATGATTGTATGCATCATCAAACCACGGACTACACCCTGCAAGCCTGCCCCCTGGCCATCAACATACAGAGCCTCTCCCTCCCAGAGTCCAGAGTCCCCAGCCGCTCCATCATCATCTCTGCCTTCATCTCTGGAGTTGCTGCTTCTCTGGATAGGAACCACACTCTACTCTTCTCCCCTCGTGGTCCCAGGGACCTCTGCTCCTTGATTGCAAAATCAACCACTCCCCTCCTTTTATTACAGAATGTCTACCTTTACATTTCCAGTACTCACAGTCAGACCTGATAGCAATCATTCACTATTGAGCCACAAGAGTCTTTCCCTCATCTCCTTTCATCAGCCCCATCCAGACAGGTTGGAAACCACTCAGTGGAGATTCTACATTCCCCCGGACCCTCTGGAACTAGTTTCCTTTTTGAAAGCTTGTAAGCCAGTCACTTATTGTCTTTGTAGCCCCCCCCCCCAATTTGGGGTAGCCAATGTCTAAGTTGTCCATCCTTGTTGATCCTGTGTACAGAGGGGGTGGGAATGATCCTCGCTGTAAAGATTTGTTCCCTTCTTTGAGTTATTACATCCACAAACAAGTCAAGTTCATCAAATTGTAGCAGATTACTCTTTTTCCCCCTTCTTCTTTCTTCCTCTAGTCAAGTTCATGGCTACCTAAAATGAGGGGACAATAAAGGCATGAAGTGACTGGCTTACAAGGTTTCAAGGGAGAGTTTAAGAGTGTGTGAGGGAAGATAGAGTCCCTACTGAATAGTTTTCATCTTGTCTAGATGGGTCTGGTAAAAAGAGATGGAGGTAAGATTCTCATGATTCAATAGTGAATAATTGCTTTCTCAACTAATTGCGACTGTCACAATTGTAAAGGTTAAAGTTTTGTAACACAAATGGGGGAGTAGTTAATCTTCCAATCCAGAAACAGAGGACTTAAGACGATCAAGGGAGAAGATCACAAACAGAATGCGGGACCTTATCCAGAGAATCAGTGACACCAGAGATGGAGGCAGAGACAGGGACATGGAGAAAGGGAGCAGCTGAGGACTCTAGATTCATGGAAAGAGAGGGACTGAGAGCTGTCGACCAGGAGGCAGACTTGCAGAATGTGCTCTTTGGTGGTATAAATTATTATATATGCCTGAGTGTTTAAAAAAGAAAAAAAGAGCCAAAAAATTAATAGAAATACTGTTAACTGATGGTACATGGAGGGGATTATAATCATTGTAATGAAACAAGTGTATGATTTGTTGAATGAAAAACTGATAATCTGCCCTGTAAACTTTTACTCAAATCACAATAAACACAATTAAAAAAGGGGGGGGGGCATGAGATTTCTCTGCATTTTGCAAGTTTATTACAATTGCATATGAAGCTATTTATTGTTGTTGTTAAGGGCCATCGAGTCGGTTCCAACCCATAGCAACCCTGTATAGGGTTTCCGAGGAGCAGCTGGTGAGCTTGAACCACCAACTTTGCTGTTCAAATGGCTTTGCAATTTAGCGAATTAACAACCCACAGCACACACAAGGACTCCATGTGAAGCTATAGTTCTCTCAAAATAAACAGTTGGAACAAACACAAAGCAAACTTTCTCCCACCTTGTTAATGAATGAATAAAAATTCAGGTAATTATAAGTCATAAACTTCTGTAATAGACTAAAACCTCTTGCACACACAGAACACCTTTCTAGGAAGATTAACCAGCAGAAAAACCCTGGAGAGCCTCAGCCAGTGCTGTCTAATAGAAATCGTTTTCAATGTTCTCATAGTTGTATTGTTGTTAGTTGCTATGAGTCAATTCTGACTCATAGCAACCTTACGCATAACAGAACGAAACACTGCCTGGTCCTAAGCCATCCTCACAATTGTTACATTGAGCCCATTGCTGCTGTCACTGTGCCAGTCCATCTCATTGCATTAGAAAAAGTAAAAATAGATGAAATTATTTAAAAAAACATTTTTGTTTAACTAGATAACTCCAACATATTATTATTCCAACATGCAACCAATATAAAAAGTGTTTCTGTGAGATTCTCTTTCTCTTTTGTACTGTCTTTGGAATCGTGACTGGGCACCTAAGGGGTGCCTTGCTAGCAGAGACCTTGGACCTGGAGCCAGACCACCCATTTATGGACAGGTGACTTTGGTCAAGTTCTTTAACCTATCTGTGCCTCAATCTCCTTATCTGTAAAATGGGAAAGTAATAACACAGGCCTGGCAGGCAGTTCTAAAATTTGTGTGAGTGGAATTGTGATGTGCTTAGAACAGATTCTGATGTAGGCTGTGAACAGGTCTGGAGAAGTCAAGCAATGATATTCTCCTTCATAGAAAAAGATGCTGAGGCTTAGAGGTGGAGCGACAGAGGCAGGGCCAGCTGGACCACACCACTAAATGAGGATCACACACTGACCCAGATGGCGAAGGCAGGCAGGACCAGGACCCTTGTCTTCATGTCCCTCCTACTTCACCATAATACCCTCTGCAGTTCCAGCCACCTGCTGGTAAGGTAAGGGGTCACCATGGAAAACCCCACGAGGAGTGGAAAGTCCAGAATTCTACGGTAGCCTCTGGTATCAGGCCCCATGTCTCCTGAGGGTGAGGCCACACAGTGTACCTGCAGAGATTCCAGGGCCTGTAAGCAGAGTAAAGCCTAGACTTGGGCCTCTTGCTTTGCAGTTTTTAATTCACCTTTCACTATTGAACATGGGCTAATCTGGTTGATGACTTCACTCAACAAGGAGAACACCCACCAGACGGCACAGAGCGAGAGTTGATGGGAAACTTCTTTTTAGTTCATCATAGGAAAGTTTTTCCAGGACCCATGTACTCCCCAGCCCCTAACACAAGGCTGACCAATTAACGTCCTCTTGTGGCCTTGTGACCTGTGGGCCAGGTCTACCGCCCTGGCTGAATGGCAGAGACAGGCAGACAACAGACTTCTCCCTTTTCCTACTACATGACATCCCAACTTCCAGGCCTTCCCCCTACTGCCACCTGTTGACTCAGTTTCTGTGTTACACAGGCTTTACCTGGGGGATCCTCCCACTCCATCTGCTCCTCTCTCCTGTTCTGGCTCCCCTCCATAAAGCCTTCCTGCTTCCCTGAAAGCTTCTCATCAGTCCAGTTACACCATCCCCCAGCCTGTCATCCAGCCCTAGGGATATCCCAGGCAGCTCCCCGACAAATAGTGGGCCAAACAAGGAGCTCATGTGGTCCATATGTGTGCAGTGCCTCTATGTGGGTTCGCTGTCTTCCTCAAAGCTCTGGATGCTAACACACCAGAAGGGAGGGTGAGCTAGAGCTGGGGTCCTCCTGACAAAGATGCCAGAAACAAAGCTCAGAGAAAGAGAATAGACAGGCGTCACCCAGGCAGGACAGGCCAAGTTCTTCCACCAGGCAGGCACCCACCCATTTACTCAGGGTCCCAGACATGAATGGAGGCAGACAGGTCCTTGAGGGTGTCAGATCCCCACTCCCACACTGTCCACAACTCTCCCCAGACTCCCTGCTGGGACCTCACACACGTTTGAACAGAGCCCTCTGGGTACAGAGTGATGCCTGAGCAGGACCTCATCTGGGGAAGTGAGAAAGGTCCCATATCTTCCCTTGAGCAAATTGGGGCCTCAGACCCACCTGTAGGAAGTCAGAAAGACTTGGAAAGTTGGAAAGAAAAGAACACTGCGAGGTGGGGGTGGGGTGGATTGGGACCTTCTCATACATTTTAGAGGGAAGTTCTTCTTTTCCCCAACCTCCTGCTTCAGGCCTCAGCCGACAGAAGCCCTGATTGGCTTGGGGCAGGCTGACTGTGGGGCCCAGTCAGGTATAACAGGGCATAGGCTCAGTTTCAAAGCAGGAGGAGGGCGGCTCTCCATCCCGCCGCGAGGGTCTGTGGAACCGAGAGCACTGGGAGGACAGGACCTTTCTTCTGGAGTCCGAGAAATCCAGCTACAGAGGACGTGAGAACCCTAGGCAGGAAGAGGGCTGAAAGGAACCATCAGAGGGAGCCTATTCCCTGCGACCCTAGGAAAGCGCCATGGCCGCTAGGGGGCGCTCTGCCAGTCGTGTTCGTGTTACCTCCAGGACTTCGTGACCCCCAGGGACGTCAGGAACCTGGGATTTCGAGACTTCTAGGACCCTACAATCCCCAAGACTAAGCGTCCCAGAACCCTGGGACCTGCATAACCTTGAGACTCCAAGGATCCTGGGCAGACGCATGGCAGGTGAGGCTCGGCCGGGCGGAGACGCAGCGCTGCGTCGTCTCCTCAGGTTGCATCGAACCGAGATCGCTGTGGCGGTGGACAGCGCCTTCCCGCTACTGCACGCTCTGGCCGACCATGACGTGGTCCCCGAAGACAAGTTCCAGGTGGGTCAACCCTGTCCCGCCTTCTTCTCACCCAGAGCCCACCCTATGCCCGGGCCCACGAGCCATGGGATGATACAGGTGCCAGGTGTTCTCTGCCTCTTCTGGGTTGGGGTCCTCACCCTCCAGTCCCATCATGGAGGTAACCAGGAAGCCTAGAAGCACTCGCCTGGTCTTGCCTCAGGAGACGATGAGTCTGAAGGACAAGGAGGGCTGTCCCCAGGCCTTCCACGCCCTCCTCTCCTGGCTCCTGACTCAGGACACCTCAACCATCCTGGACTTCTGGAGGGTTCTATTCAAGGACTACAACCTCGAGAGATACACCCGGCTTCAGCCCATCCTAGACAGCTTCCCTAAAGGTGGGACCAGGGGTGTCCTGTGTTGGGTTGGCTCCTGGGTTCTGGCCTGCTCAGCCTCCTGGGGGTGGGAAGAGCTGTGTCATCCTGCTGGAGTGTAAGTTGGAAGGTTGGGATAGAGTGGGAGTCTGGGTGTTCACCTGGGACCAGCTTGGATTCTAAGAGACCTCGTCCAATTTGATGGGCATGTCCAGCTCTCAAGCTCACTCCTCCAAGGGCCAGAAAAGGCTCAGGTCCTTGCCCTCACATGCAGATGTGGATCTCAGCCAGCCCCGGAAGGGAAGGAAGCCTCCTACTGGGCCCAAAATCTCCATGCTGCCACCCAGACCCCCTGCCAAGAGGAAGGCCCAGGAGGAGCCTCGAGTTGTCCCAACCACTGCCCTGCCCCCGAGGGGCAGCTCCAGCCCAGGTACCCATCTAGGAATTTCTGAAAAATCTCCTCCCCCACCACACCATACCCCAACTGACTACAGTCCTTCCAACCATGGCTGGAGCTGCAGAAGCCTGGCCTCACTCCATCTACCTCTGTTTCCCCTCTGTAATTGACTGGACACACTGGGTGAGCCTCAGATCTCCTCCTGTCCCAGGGTTCTGTGAAGTAGGCAGGTGGGTTTTATGTCAATTTTACTGGTGAGGAACTAGAACCTGGGGAAGTGAAGACTCCCAGCTCCATCCTCTCAACATCTAATTCCCACCTCTCCTACTCACCCATTCCTGCTTTCATCTAGCTCCTCCTCCAGGTTCCCAATATAAGGCCAAGTCCTCCAAGAAGTTGGAGAACAGTGCTGAGCCACAGCGAGTCCCAGTGGGGAGTGGTAAGACCCCTGTGGGGCTAGGGAGGGGGCTGTCCACCTTCAAATGGGCTCTCCTGGGCACTAGACTGAGCTGACTGGGACAGCCAGTCAGTCCTGAGAAAAAGAAAAGCCTTAAGTCCTAATATGAGCTTCTGGTCACTCCTATTCCTGCACACAGCACCTCAGTACCCTTTCTCTGACACCTTTCTCCTAGGTCTCCCAACTGGACATTACAGTGCTGTCCTCTCTCCTGGCCCCTCACTCCACTGTCCACTCACCCACCCTCTGCTTCCAGAACCTTATTCCCCTGTTGCCCCTCTTTCCACCCTCACCATGCCCTTAGGTTTTCTGCCCTCCTACCTTTAAAATGGCCTGGTGCACTCCTGTTTGTGCCCCTAAATTACCAGGAACGCATCTCCCAAGGTCCTCACTCTTGTCCCTGCCTATCAATCCCAAAAATAAGGGTCCTAGGAGCTCAGCTGGGTTGGAGTTGTCAGGTCCTGCTCAGACAATGGCCTGGGACATCTGGGATAGACCTATTCTTGTTAAGTGCTATCAGGTTGGGTCTGACTCATAGCGACCCTGTATAGGGTATTCGAGGAATGACTGTCATGTTTGAACCATTAACCCTGTAGTTAGCAGTCCAGTGCTTATCCACCAACCCCATACCAGGGTGGGCCTGGGAATCAGTATATTCTATGTTTCCCCCTCATCCCCCACCTGGAGTCAGCCTGGCAGCTGGAACCGCCAGATAGGATGCTGTAAGGTGCCTACCCCTAAAACAATGCTGCCTCACCCCTCACCTACTGCAACGCACTGGCAAACAGACCAAGTTCCCCCCAGATCTCTCACCCTTCCCAGACCCTCCACTCCAATCTTGATGCTGCATCTGCCTTTGCCCTTGATCATGCTGTTCTAGGAACTGAGGATTCCTGCATCTTCTCCACAGCCACACACACAGCCCTGTTTACTCCTTAAGATTTGTTCAGACACTGCTGTCTACAAACAGCATCTCTGGCCTGCCATTTCCTGCCCCCTCCCCTGGACACTTGGCCCCAGCTCACCTGGGGGACATGTCATGCAGGGGAGGTCCTTGTTCATGCCTATCACATCGCATTGTGGCCTGTCTCACATGTGCACTGTCCACATGTGGGGGCTATCTCTCTGATGCTTGCTCTGGGTAGAAGGAAAGATAATTCTATAGGCAGATACTGCTCATTCCTGCCCAGTGTGGAAGGGGCTCTCAGGAGCCACCTTCATGATTGATGTCCTTCTATTGGGGTGGTCCCTTCACCAGGGATCCAGAGCATGTCAGCATCGGTCCAGCGAGCTGTAGCCATGTCCTCCGGGGATGTCCCAGGAGCCCGCGGGGCCGTGGAGGGAATCCTCATCCAGCAAGTGTTTGAGTCAGGTACACTGGGCGGGGGAGGGAGGCTGCCAGGGAGACACTTGGTGAGGAGCAGGCCAGGGCTGCCAAGGAGACATCCTCCCCACCCCTCCCAGTCTGTGGCTTTGCCAGCTTTGGAGGGATGGAGAGGATTAAGAGCTACTAGCACAGGCTAGAGCCCAGGGACCTTCTTTGAGGCTGGTGGTGGTGTGGGGCATTATCCCAGTGTGGGATGTTCAGAGCACCTGGATCATCCCCATCCATGTAGTGGACCCCATACAATCCCTAAAATCCCTTCAGACCCTCTGGAACCTGCAGCACCCCCTTCTCTCCCTCCACCTGGATTTTTTTTCATGCCACCTTCCCAAACCACCTCCTTGCTGGGTTCCTCATATGAGGAGGGGTCTGGTTCCATCTCACCTGCCTAGCTCCTCCCATGAGCCCCAGGACAATATCATTGCAGTAAGCCAACAGCTGTCCACCAGCATCTGCCTGCCCAGGCCCATCGGTGTCCACTGAGACCAGAGCCAGTCACAGCCCCTACATCGATGTCTCTATATGGAGCACAGACCCAAACCCTGAGGGCAGAGGGCCCAGTAAGCCTGGAGAACTAATGAAGCCCTGGTCTCACCCTATCTGGACTATCCCTAGGGTTCTCCAGCAGAGATCCCTGGCTACTGACTTAGTTGGGACAAGAATCTAGTGGGGGTGGAGGAAGAACTAGTTGGCAGGTGTCTGTGCCAGGCCTGCTTGGGTTAGTCAGGATTCCTGCATAAAGAATTACACAGAGACCAGTCAGTTCTCCCCACTCAGGTGGCTCCAAGAAGTGTATCCAGGTGGGAGGTGAGTTTTACACTCCCAACAAGTTTGAAGACCCTGGCAGCAGTGGTGGGAAGAACAAAACCCGTAGTGGTGGCAGCCTGAAGCCTTTGGTCCGAGCCAAGGGAGTCCAGGTCATTGCCCCCGTAAGCACAGCCTGTCTGTTTATCTGTCCCCAGGGAAGCCTAAGAGCTTTGTTTGGGGGCCGCTGGGAGCTGATGCCCAGAGGTGCCTGCTATCTATCAGTGGCCGCCTCTCCAGGCTGTCTCCTTGGTTGGTGATCTTCTTCTTTCCCTTACAGGGTGGAGGTGACCCAAGGCTAGGCCATCAGGGCCGAGTTCCCACCCCCGCTGCTGTCCCCAGTGAGCCCCAGCTCCACCAGGTAACAACCTAGACCATAAGGAGGTCCCTTCACCCCCACTGGCAGATTCCCCCTGGCAGGTTCTTCTACAGGGGTTACCCTGGTCTGGCACTTGGGTTCACAAGGGTAGAGTTTTGTTTTTTATAGATAGTATTTAATTATTTTTTTCTGATAACATACAACTATTGTAAAAATTAAAATAAATCAGAGAAAGTGACAACCTTCAGGCCTTTAAAGCCATGGACAGCACCTTAGTGCAGGCCAGCGGTACTGAGTATACCTCATGGTTGGGCCTGTGAAGGTGGGGGTCCCTGCTATTGAATCAGGAGTCCAAGGGCTTATTAAAGCATCACGAACATCCTTGGGTTCCCAGCAGCATTTTCTAACGAGGTGGAATCTTCTCAGTAAGCTTCTGCCATTGTCACTTACAAATCTCCATATCCAGTGGTAAGAACAGGACCCAGCCTGCCCTCTAGGGGTCGTGGCTGGTAGTGATGGTAGGGGGACAGTCTGGCAGTCAGGTGTGTGCTTCTGGAAGAGGTGGAATTTGAAAACCCACCGGAGGGTGCAGGGGATGCTATGACAGCCAAAGGTGCAAGGAGGACGAGGACCCCAGTGTGAGGAGCAGTGGGCTTCCAGGGCTGACAAACACTACTGGTCAGACTCCTCATTGTCTTTGTGAAGAAAGGTTGAGTGTGGCTGGGTGTATAGAATCACACACAGAAGCCAGATGTTTTGATGGTCATTTTCCCAAGGAGGATGGGTCCATGGGCAGGTGTGTGTGTAGGGGGGCTAGAATCTTAGAGATGGAGAGTTCTGGAAGGACCCCAGGGAGCAGGCAATAAGGGTGGAATTTCAAGTGAAAGCCAGCATGAGGACAGGGGAGGAGATCTGGATGCCCCAGAGAGTCCAAAATCCCTGAGATGCTACCAATGGGATCCATCTGTGGGGAGAGGCCCCGCTCTCCGCAGGAGTCTCAGTGGGAGGGGCTGCCTATCCCAGGCGTCTGGATGGTGTCTCTCTCCTGCACCAGAAGAATGAGGACGAGTGTGCCGTGTGCCGGGACGGTGGTGTGCTGATCTGCTGTGACGGCTGCCCCCGGGCCTTCCACCTGGCCTGCCTCTCCCCACCACTCCGGGAGATCCCCAGGTAAGCAAGGCATGCTTGTCACCTGCACTGCTGCACCTTCAACCTGAGCCCAAATAGCAGCCCCCTACAGTCTCTCCATAGCACAAGACGGAGGAAAGCCTTGGCTTAGGCCACTGTGTAGTGGGCTAGAATTAGTGGTTTTCCCCCCAGACCTCTCCACACAGCCATACTGGCCAGTAGGGTTCTCAGGGTGGGCAAGGCAGATGGGAGGTCCAAGGCAAAGAACAAGGACAAGCCAGCCTTTCTTGTCTCACTCCAGACACCCCCAGCTGACCTTCCCCAAGCAAAGTCTCATCCCACAGTGGGGAGCATAGAGGCCCAGAGCTGCAACCCCGAGGGCTGATGAGTATTTTCTGCCCATGCACAGAACTCTGTCTAGCTCCTGGTGCCCCTCTAGCCCAGCTTCCCAGCCCTGCCCTCCATTACCAGCTCCTACAGGTTAGGGTAGTCTGCAGGGAAGCGCACAGGATGGAGTCCAGAAGCCAAAGCTCTAGCTCCAGGCCTGCTCTAGTTCCCAGTATGACCTCAAGCAGATCATGCTTCTCTGAGTCCCCATGGCTCCATCTCTAAAAAGAGGTCATCTTTCGGCCCCCATTTGACCCTGGAAGATTGTTATCCTACCATTTCTTAAGGAAACATGGGTGGTTCTGGGATATAAAACACCCAATTCTCTATCACCAGGTCCAGGCCACTGGGGATGAGTGGGGAGTTAGGGATAGTTGTCAATCACCAGGGACCTTGCCTATGGGGGTGAATGACCCCCATCCAGGGCTTTCCTGCTGACCAGTGGCTCTGCCACCTCCTTGCCTGGGCCTTGGTTTCCCCGCCTATAAAAGAAGTGTCGTCTTTCATCTTGTGTGGTTGGGAGTCTGTTGTCCCTCTGCCTTGTCCTCCCACACATCTGACTGATAACAACATGGGCAGTGGGACCTGGAGGTGTTCCAGTTGCCTCCAGGGAAGAGCCCTACAGGACGCGCCCCGTGTGGAGGAGCCCGGACCCCAGGAGACGCTAGTGGAAAGCCCGGTATGCTCTGGCCCACTCCCAGATTGGTTCACCCTCATGTCCCTCTGTCCCTCTGTAGTCTTATTTCCTGGCCACACCTGTGGAGTGGGCCTGCACAGGGTGGTCACTGCCTGCCGCTGCCTAGTCTCCCAGACCACATCTACTCAGCTTTCTAGACTCAAGCTCAGGGAACCAGAAAGCTGGCTATATCACACCCAACTCCTCAAGGCAGGGGAGCGGGGAGCTTATTAGCTCTGTCATCTCAAACCCAGGAGGCTTTGTTTGATCACTGATAATTTCCTCAAAAAATACTTTCAAGTCCAGAAACTCATGTCCTGGGGTATATATGCTGACAGCCTATATATTGTGTCCTGACAGCCTCTGAGGGTCATTGGGTAACTCCATACTAGAAGAGGAGAGGGAGAGGGCTTTGCTGAAGCCCACAGAGCCAGGAGACAAACCCAGGTCACTCCCACTAGCCTGGCTACTGCATCAGCTATTACTGGATGCCCAGGTAGTGTTGGGCAAGTTCCCTGCCAGCTCCTCTGAGCACTGACCTCTGGTTCCAGGTCCTTTTGGGACTGAGGCCTGTGGGTGAGGAGGTAAGGGGCCTGCCCAAGGGTCCTCCAGCTGGAATGGATGCTGCCATCACTTATAAACACCAGATGCCCCCATCCTCCACACCCCCCTTGCCAATACTGGACGCCTCAGCCCTGCGCCCCCTGCTGTGTGCAAACACTGATGGACAGCAGGTGAGGGGCTATGGGTTCAGGGTATCTGTCTTCAGGAAGGTTACTGTCTATTAGGGAGTCTACAACCAGAAACAGGACAGAAAACAATGGCTACTTATGCAAGGGAGGGGCCAAGCTGAAGTTAGGAATATCCGGCACAAACTATGTGAGCATCTGGGGGTGACTCTGGGGGCATCCTGGTGGGAGGCAGATTGGCTAGACACTGAGGAAGAGCACCCAGGAAGGGAGAGATGGGCCTCTGGGCCCCCACGCGCAGGGTTTAGTTCAGAGTGGTGGGGAGGTCATGGAGGGTTGTCAGATGTGTTGCTCTGGAAAACCGTTCCACCCCACCCCCAGATTGAACCCTGAGCATTTAGCCTCCCAGGGGGACGGCTCAGCATCGTTGGGTGCCCTCCAAGTGCCTTGGCCCTGTTTTGGGGACTCTGGTTCTGGCCCACAAAGAGGGCAGAGAGGTCTGGACACTTGGCTGCTGAGGCACTTCCTGCCTCCCCTCCTATCCCCCCAACACCACATGACTCCCTGGCTTGTAGCCCCTTTCCAATCTCTAACCTGCCCAGGGCTGGGTTCCCCACGTCCAGAATGCCCACAAGAGGAAGTGGCCCAGGAGCTCGAGTTAGGTCTCCGACTCCAGGGGAGTGAGTTGGGGATGGACTGTAGGGTCACCACCCTGATGGTTTTTGCAGGGCGCACGGTGTGGTGTGTGTGGGGACGGCGCAGACGCCCTCAGGTGCGCGCACTGTGCCGCCGCCTTCCACCTGCGCTGCCACTTTCCCACGGGCGCAGCCCGGCCGGGGTGAGTGCACAGTCACGAGACTGCGGGGAAGGGGGCCGGGAAGAGGCTGGGAAGTAAAGGGGCTAGCGGGAGAGAAAGGTCGTGGTAGCGGCAGGCTATTGGAGAGAGGAGGGACGGTAAAGGCTCGGCGCTACCCGCGACTGCGGGTCCGTCAGCACCCCCAATACCCACCTTCCATCGGGGTCTTTGGATTGGGGGTGCCACTGGCTGGCCCCAACCCAGGGCAGCCCTCCCTTTCTCCCCTCTGTTGCAGAGCTGTTCTGCGCTGCAAATCGTGCTCTGGAGATCTGGCTCTAGCCCAGGGCCAGGGGGAGGGGGCGCCTGCCCCAAGCCCTGCCCGCCAGGCAGCAGGGCCAGCCAAGGTCAGTGTGTGTGTGTGTGTGTGTGTGTGTGTGTTGGCTGAGGTTCCCTGCCTTCCTCCCTTGGTACTCCATGCTCTGTGGGAGGGGGAGTCCAAGAGCCAACTTCTTGGGTGTATTCACTGGTTTTAAAATCAGCTCCTTTTTGATCACTAAGTTATCTAGTGTTGTTTTAACGAATATCACAAGTGCGTGGCTTTAACAAACACTTATATTCCCTTACCATTTAGGAGTCTGAATTCAGGACACTTGCTTCAGGGAAAGGCTTTCTCTCTGTGGAAGCTAGAGGACCTTGCTTTCTTTCAATGTCTCTGGAGATCTCCATGTGTCTTGGATAACCTCTCCTGAGTCTAGGAGGTTCTTAGCACAGGGATCCTGGGTCCAAAGGACAAACTCCTGGTTCTCTTTTCTTGGATGTTGCAAGATTCCTTTCCTCTCTGTTGGCTTTTCTCTCCTTTTATCTCTTGTAAGATAAAAGCTATGGCTCAAGTAAAGGTGTGACTTGATTTATGACCTCTTGTAAGGTCATAAAGGAGCTCTGGTAGTGTAGTGGTTACGAATCGGGCTGCGAACCTTAAGGTCAGCGGTTCGAAACTACCAGCTGCTCCGCGGGAGAAAGATGA